GTCGACTACATCCCCCCTGTTCACAAACCCCCAGACATTCCAGTCCTCAGGGCATTCTCACACAGGAGTTTTTAACTTATTTACGGACGCCGGCCGTAGAGAATGTCAGATCCATTTAAGACAGCTAATGTGACTACGCCCTCACTCCACATCTCAGCACCCTCTCCCGGCGCCATAGCCAAAAGCTCAACGCCACCATGAAGAGGAAGAAGCACGAACCATTTCAAGATCTTACTCGTGCTCAGTTCTGTCTGTCACCGTAAAAAAAGACTCGTCCTTACCCTGGCGCATGCACCGTAAGGACACCAGTACCTCCACGTTCTTAGGCCGTTAACGCGGTGGTCGAGTTGGCCTGCCGTGAGGGGCTATATTCATTCGAATCGATGCGTTCTTAGGCCGTTAACGCGGTTGTTGAATCGGCCCGCCGGGGGGGGCTATATTCATTCGCGTCAGAGGAGGCAGGGCTATATTCATTCGAGTCAGAGGGGCCCTAAGAATGCGGTGGGAAAAAAAAAAAAAAAAAAAAAAACGCGGTGGGTACTGCTGGTCTCGCTCGCTCCCTCTCATGCGTGCATCAACAAGAACCTTCCGTCTTCCTTCCTCTTCAGACTGCTGTTGGCCTTGCAGGGTCTCTGCACGGCCCTAAAAGACACAAAAATGCGACGGACCTTTTTCGAGTTATGGACTCGCCTGGCGGAATATATATTGGCGAAGGAATGGGGTTTGCACAGACCATCAGATGTATGGCTGTGCTGCCTCATCCCGTCCTTCGCTGCTAGGAGACCTAAGTCTCGACTGTGGAGAAGCATTCTTCATGCCTGGCAAAAGCTTTTCCCACAGACTCTCAGACCACCTGAAACAAGAGGAGAGGTTCTGAATCAGATTCTTTTCGAGAACCCCTTCATTGTTGATGCAAGTGGTAGATGGTTTAAAGCAGATAGAGGTCCGGCCTCCTTTGCTAACGCATGGATTGAAAGAGGAGTAATCCAGATTAAGCATATCTGGGACGCAGATGCGGAAGACTGGTTGCCGGTGGCCGAACTGAGGAGGAAATTGGCCAGGCTTCGCAACGTGGAGGAAAACTATCGACGGATACAAGAGGTCGTTCCCTGATACTGGATGGCAATGCTCCCAATGTCAGTAGACTACAATCAAGGGGCTTGGCTCTTAGATCCGGAAGATAATCAGTTGGTTGTAAGAGTGGTGGGACCGGAATTGCCGCAAGGGCTCAGAATGCAGGTTTGGAGACGGGAAGTGGGGGCGTCCCTGCCCTGTCCACTTACCAGACTGGAGGACAAGATAGTCCCTTCAACAGTAGGTTTTACAGAATGTAGAGTCTGGATTGGTCGGTTGAAGCGGAAGGAATCGGCTACTCTCGTAGTTGAGGACGCTTCCAAACTCCAGGTTGAACCTCTGTTATATGGCTGGAAGGATATCCTGGGCCCGGGCTCTTCGGTGCCAGTAATTAATTATAAACCCCAAGTGAGGGTGCAGGTTCTTAGAGCAACAAGTAAGAAGCAAGCAGTATCTACAGCGTCTGAGAGACTAGCTAAGGAGCCTGGGTTTTCACTGGGCAATCTGGATCTGTTTGGTTTATGGAGAGGATTAAAGTTCATGACATCACAGAAGCAGGCGGCTTTGGCCTGGCTTCAGTGTTTTGTGGTAACGCCGTCTGCAGTTTGGTTGTCAGCCAGGGGTATGGAGGTAAATGAACAGTGCGCCCGCTGTAACTGGGGTTGGGAAACTTCTTCCCATCTTGCCTAGGTCTTGTCGAGATAAAATGGAAAAAACCGAAGTCCTTGATGAAGGCCAAATGCTCAGAAGTGAGTCATAGAGCTGGGGCCGCAGGCCCACACACCGCGGGAAAATCGAGGGTGGGCGGGACCGCTTCGCCAAGATCTTGGCGAGAAAAACAACTCGGCCTCAGAGCAGACTTGGTGGCTGTGCTGTGACCGCAGGTTTGCTTATGCGATGGGCGCAGCTGCCGGCGGACGAAATCCCGAAGCCGCTCCGCGCGAGTCGAGTCAGCCTGCAGCGACCGGTCACGTGCCGGTTACTTATACTCTCCYTGCTCYAGGGTCCAGTGGCGGTCRGTCCTCAGAGGGTCTTYTTCCCACAGGGTAAGTTCMRCTGAGTCCTYTCGTAGATCTTGGCCTCAACACTCACCCATCCGTAGATTCTGRAAATAAGATTTAAAATTAGGAAAATAGTGCCATACTGTTGGAAYTGAAGATCAACGATGAGAGGGYCTCCGGGAGACAGTTGATTTTTAGGAGAACAAGAAGTTGAAATCTTAGAAAATAGTGYCATCTGTTGAAACTGAAGATCGTCGGTGACGAGGCCTCCTGAGACAGTTAAGCTGAAGTGACCAAAGGAAAAGTATCTTGACAAATGCTTGAAGTGATGGTTGCATCTTGACCTGTCGAGTAGGTACCAACTAGAAGGGTTCGAGTAGGACAGTTGCTTGGTTGTACTGCCCTCACTCCTTCCAAGTTTGGGAGTGGTGGAAGGAAAAGTGGAAACTCTGCTCAGGAAACCGGGTGCCATGGTCTCAGGAATGGACTCTTTATGCCTTGATGCTCTCTCCTCAAGACTTCTCAACGGGTCTGGCCTATGTTGCCTTGGCCTGTAGAGGGCCTATAATGGAAGTGTTGTGGTCAGCTAGAAATAAGGCGATTTTCAAGAAGGAGGAAACCCCCTTCAGTGAATTAGTCGCTTTAGTTAAAGTACTTATTAGAAAGACTATTCAGAGCGACTGGCAGGGAGTGCGGTCTACAGCAAGGAAGAACCGGTTCTGGTTCTCCCAGACATGGACCAAAGCTACCAATCTTGTGAGGATCTTGGCGGATGGTAAGTTGTAATTTGTTGACTGGCTTCGGGATTGAACCTTGAATTTTGGGCCGCTGGTATAGGCCGTCCTTTTTAGTGGTGTAGGGTTCTGCAGCAAGACTTTGTTGATTGTGGAGTGGGCCCGCATTGTGTTTCAGGGCATACGTATTAACTCTTTTGTAGGATAGAGGTTAGCACATCGCTCAGTCTTGGCTGTTTTTTTTAATACGTTTGTGTCTTAGTATTTTCTCGCTTTTTTTGCTGATTGGTTGGTTGGATTGGCTGGGTTTTGGTTTGGTTACCCGGGTCCCATGTTGGGTCTTGTAAAAAGCGAGACTGGCTGATGCTGCTAGGATAACTTTGGGTTGAAGTGTGAGGTCCCCGACCTCCTCGAATTAATAATTGGTGACAAGGTTAAAAAAAAAAAAAAAAAAGACGAGTACTGGCAAGAAGACGAGATAGAGAGAAGTGAACCGAGGCCCTAAACAAGAACAAAAAGAATGCACTGGCGAACGAGAAGGTATGTCCCTTCCATGGGCCTCGCTCCACGACTCTCGACACACACAAAAGACAAAAAAAAATATGCTGGTGTATATTTCCATGTTCCAAGGGAAGATTGATTCTCAGTTGGCACACTTCTGGACTGGAGAGAGGGGCCATGTCAACTAAACTACATGCCAACCTCTCGCAGCCACCCACCCTCATCCTCGCATCTTGCTTGTACTACTAATGAATTAACCATCTATCTACCTGATCATTAACGAAAAGATCCCTCTAGTACCTTTAAACGTTGATTAACCACCATAAAACCTCTTAATTAACCATCCACCTGCCTCTGTTAACGTTAATTAACCACTCCAGAACCTCTTAATTAACCATCCACCTGCCTCTTAATTAGCCATGCATATCCATCTGCCGTGTCCATCCCGCCAGCCATCTATGGGCCCCGCTCCACTACTCACCACATGCACAGAAGACAGAAAATGTGGGTGTGTAGCTTGCCATGCTCTCGCGGAAAGATTCATTCTCGTTTTGCACATTTGGACAGTAGTGGAGTGAGACCCTATTTCTCCCGTCCATCCATCCAGTTAACCCGCCAATCCATTCAATCAATGCGCTTAGCGTCTCCGCAACGATCTGGTCTACTTCTAGGGCATAGGTCCTCGCTCCACTGTAACGAACTATTTTCTGTAATCGCGCGACTTTCTGCGCGAAGCTGCTTCACGGGTTCGGACGGGTTGGTCGGGTGAAGTACGTAGGAATGGGTTGGCCGGGCAGGTTGCATGGATGCCCTCGCTTCTTGTTCGTTTTTCTTTTGGATTTTTGGGTCAGTACCGGAAAAGGTCCCGCGTAGACAGTTAGGTGACCACGCCTTAGCGAGTACAACAAATAATTGTTGCCATAGCTTCTTTCTTGTTCTGCTGTCGGCAATGGGAATTTTGGCGCGACCTCGCGCGGGATATCGTTTTTGAAATTTTGAACTATGGTCGAGCCCCCGCGGGCTCTCAAAATTGTTTTCCTTTCGGAATTTCTTTTTGCAATTAGGATTTAGACTAGAAATTTAGGTACCTGGCAATCTGGCTGCACGGCGCATCCTGCTCACGCGCACCGTGCCTTGGCAAGATCAGGGCTCTGATGTGCACCTTAATCTTGTGTGTAACTATACTTTTTGGCGGGCGCAGCTACAACTACAACCTTCCTATTCTTGATGTCCTTCCTCGCCCCCGCCTGTGTATGCACATCCTTTTGTCTGCTGTGATTGGTCCCCACATTGCATGACTGGATCGACGCGTGGAGAGGGGTTTCGTCCCCCACGCCGCGGGCTGGCCATGCAGACGTAGGCACTTCCTTCTCTTCCCCTTCTTCTCCCTTAGGCATAATCTCGGGTTTCTCGTGCAAGCATATACGCTATAAATTTCGCAAGCGCGATTAGTTTTCTCTCTATGAATTTTTGCAGTTAGCGCGGTTAGTGAGGATCGACTAATGAGTTAGCTTAGGAGGTGAGTAGACGAGAGAGTTGGGCGATCCGACGAGCTGGTGCTGAGTGAGGGGGTTGACGTGTGGGCCGCGACGGACTGTGGCGCATGGGCGAACCTGGCTTGCATATTCGGACCAAGCGGGGTGACAAAGCGGGAGTTCGAGATTAGCCCTGCTCAGGTCGTCGACCTCGGGGACTGGGAGGATCTGTACAACCAGCGGTCCCTGGATCCCGTCCTTGTTCAAGGGATCAAAGAAGCGATGTGGTTGGCATTTGAAAACAACGAGCAGTCATATGAGTTGCCAACCCTGAAGCTGGCACCGCTGGGGCTGCATAAACCAACTCCCCGAAACAAGGCACAACGTCTAAAGCCGGAAGAAAGGAGGGACGAGCTGGCTGGACAATACTACTACGCGGTGTGTGGACAACACAACGCGGTTGCAGCCAGGTCATTTCTCGGTAACGGCGTGGCCAAGAAATACAATTTCGAGCGGTCGGCGGCACGAATGGTGTACTTTTCGGACAACGACTTCGAAGGGTATTTCCTTGTCAGTTCCCAGGACAACAAAAAGGACCTCAAGGCACCAATAAGACAGTTGAAGCTGTCAATGAAAGACATTCAGTGGCAGTGGAAGCACAACGGTTTCCTAAGAGATGTTATGGAAAACCCCAGCGGAAAACAGGAACAAGTCCAGAAATGGCGTGAATTCTGTACGGTGGCGCTCCATGAGACGCCGTACAACAACTTATGGATTCTGGCGGATCCGAGTCAGAAGAGGGATGACGCAATCAAGAAGCAAAAAGCTGCCCTGCGTTCCTATTTCCCTCCGGCGATGGCCGGAGAGAACGTCTGGAAACTGACCGTTGAATTTTTCGAGAGATGGGAGACTGGTAGATTGCTCGGCCAGGACGACACAAAGTGGATCGTGAGGAAGAAGAAGGTTAAAAACGTAAAGTCCGGAGTTGCCTACATCGCCAATGAAAAGCTAGGAAGGAAGGAGGTCGTGTACAACGTCCGTGTGGACCCGGCGACGAGGAAAGGCAAAAAGGAGAAAGAGGAGGGCGACTGGTTCGTGCAAGTGCCTGAGCCGGATACACATTGTTGGAAAGCGATGAAATCGCTAACTGACAACGAGAAGTGTCGTGTCCTGAAGAAGGTGCTCGCTTGCGAGGTGGTCTGGGTTCAGGCCGGCTCCCCGACGTTGCCGAAGTTGGGGAAGCTCAGCGTGCAGGATATGGTGCATTTGGTGAAGTGTGACTGTGTGTTCGTACGTTTGTGCAATTACTACCAGTTCAAGCACGAGAGGAGGACGGATGCGGATTGGATTCAGAGGTACCCGTTCCTGAAAACAAGGTCCGCAATTTTCAAGCAGTTCGAAAGTCGTGGATTGGATGCTGAGTTGTGGGACGGTAGCAGGAAATACGTTACTGACTCCTCGTTGTTCAAGGAGTGCCCGCCTTACATGGGTTGCGACGACGACCACTCGATTGAGGCGATGGAGAAGTTGGCCGGTTACAGGAAGTTGACCGTCGACTGGAGAAACAAGGTTCTCTTCGTGTTGACTGGCAGTAGACTGAAGAGTCGCAAGATTGCTCTTGCCGAAGGCATTGTGCACATAAAATAGAAGGACACAGGCGACGTGACATCTTTCGCACCCTTCGGCAATGACCCCTTGGAGGCGGACATCAGGAGTGAGGAGCTAAAGGAGGCGGTGGCTGCCACAAAGAGCCACACGTTCGTCCTCGACCTCTGTGAACCGGTTGACCTGAAGCTGTGGAAACCGCAAGCGTTTGATACTCTGGATTCCTAACTTCAGACGTGGTATCCGTCGCATTGAACGCTCGTCGTTTTTGTGCCGCGGCAGCAGAACCTCTTGTTTCTGGCCAGCACGAACCATCTTTCTTTCATGAAGCTGTTGGAGCCAGGAAGGTAAGTGAGTGAGGAGAACTCGGCAGAAGAAAAGTTTCCCCGTCGGGAACAATTTGTACACGGAAGACGACCGGATGTACATCCTCTTCAAGGGTGACGATTTGCACGCGAACACGTCCGTCGTTTATGAGGGAAGGCTGCCGGCAGGTGCCGCTGCTGCAGTGCGGTTGCCACAGAAGATTACCTAAACGGATGTGTTCGAGATTCCGTTCACGGCTTGTGACTGGTCGCAGACCTCGCCTGCACGTCATGGCAGTGTGTATGGGGATATGGAACGCAATCCGACCCAATTCGTTAATCTTCTCAAATTCGTCGGCAAGAAGGGAGAGGGTGTCGTCTTCCTTGGGAAGCCGCACACACGAACCGTGTGGGAACTACTGAAGGTAGGCCGACACGTTGTCGCGATAGAAGGGAACTCCGACCTGTTGCAATTCGCAATGCAACTTGTCAAAAGCGAGGTCAATTCGGGGACCCACAATTGCGAGTTCATGGTCGTGAAGGAGACACGGGGTCGTGTGTGGAACAACAAGACGGACATGTGGTTCAAGTTGAGTGAGAGGAGGCGGAACAAGATATACGACTTCTTGTTCCTCCAAACGTGGCCGAGAAAGGACACTGACGCCGAGTACGTGCGCCGCAGGGACCACATGTTCGCGCTGCTAGACAACTACCACGACGCCTCCCGCATGAACACGAAGACATTTCTCGAAAGGTTGCAGTCCCTGTACTTCGTGGAGTCAGAGGAGGAGTTGAAGTTCGGCAATTACTCTTCCTTGATCTCCACGGAAGACTAGGAAACGACAGGCGTCGAATTCAACGCGAACGCGAACGAGGAGGAGAGAGACGCAGAGAGCCTCGACCTATAGTACGACCCACCTCCCGCACAACACGTCCCAGGGTCGTCGTTGGCAGGTCCGTCAATAAGCCGGACATCCCTCGTGTCACCGATGGCGAAACCGGCACCTGGCACAACCCCGATGAAGTTGCTGGAGAGACTGAAAGCTCTGGTCGTCACCCATCGCACATTGCGTCCCGGGTCTGACATCCCGCCCGATCATCTGTCTTGGAAGGATGACAACATTCACTTCCTTGTTTAGCCGCAAAGTCATTCACCTGAGGTGGACTGGGGCCATGACATGATTTGGCATCCAGGAGTCATCTAGCCGGCGATCCAAAAGGGCAAGTGGGTTATGGCCGTCGCTGTCCCGGGCGGAGGATGGATGCCCCTCCCTCGAGAGTCGAAGTCAAACTTCCTGGACCTCGCCAGGATTTCGGTCCTTCAAAAAGTGAGGGCCGAAAATGACTCGTTTGCACCCTACAACATGTCCGTCATTTCCACAGTCAGGCGATTGTTCGACGAACTTCAGGACAAGTGCTGGTTGGAACTGACGGAGGACTACTACGAACTCGATACAAGCCCCTCGAAGGGCGTGGTGGACTGGAAAATTTCCCCTTCCAGTGGGGCACACGGGACTTCCGGGTCCTGGGCACTAGACAGTGGGGGGGGCAAAGGAGACAATGCGGGGGGTGGCACAGGAGTCCCGCCTAGTGGGGAGGGCGGGTCTCACGACGACACCGCGCCGACGGAAGGCAGCGGTGGGGTGGCGAAGGAGGCGTTCGGTCGTCAACAGTCTACTGATCCCGGTCCGGAGGACTCGACACAGTCCGCCGACGTGCCTACTTCGTCAGCCGGCTCGGTGAGGGAGATGATGGCAACCTTGGTTCTCAGTGGCAGCTCGGGCGGAAGGTTCAAGTCCGCCGGGATCCGAACTACAATGGTTGAGGTGCCGACACAATGGTCGGCCGCGAAGAGCTGGTCGGGCGTGGGGTTGCCGTGTCATGATCCCACAATTGACAGCGGTGCGGTGAGGGACGGGAATGCGCTGCCTGAGGGGGGGTGATGACCGCTTCGCTTGGACCGAGAGGGTACAAGTGGAGGGCCCGGCAACAAGGAGACGACGAAGTTCGCTGACATCCGAACTTTTTTAGGCAGGGGGGGCGACCACGGCTTATGGTGTTGGCGGGAGGGGCAGCGTGCGTGGAGCCAGAAGAGCGGTCGTCGGAATTCGACAAGGGTTCGGGAGAAGTGGCTGGATTGCATGCAAGGGAAGGAGGGGGGTTAATGGAGGAAGGGAAGGAAGGGGAGGAAGGAGAGGAAGGGGAGGAAAGGGATGAAGGAGGGGAGGAAGAAGAGAAGGAAGAAGGGGAGGAAGGGGAGGAAGAAGAGGAGGAAGGGGAGAAAGGATTGAAGGAAGGAGGGGGCAAAATGGGACGTCGATATTGGAGACGACGAACGGACAGTGAGTGACAACGATGCCGGATCTGGGAAGTCGTATGACGGATTCGGGCTGTTGTATGGAGAACATCGCGAGGATGATGACGACGACGATGCAACGACAATGGAGATGGAGACACAGGTGGTCAGCAACCTTTCGGCAGAACGTGATGACTATGAGGTCCAAGCAATGACGTCTGTCGTCGATCTCCAACACCGGTTCAATGAGGCTCCTGTTGTTGTGAGTCTATCTAAACCGAGTGGCCGTATAGACGTCGAAGAAGTTATCGATGGCATCCTAGGCGACCACCACGTGTCCACGTAGCCGTCCACAACGCCTGATGTCCATGACCCTCGCAACGTCAAACCTTCCACGACATCTGCCATCGCTTTCTCGTCGCCGAACTCTCCGATACTGCCGACGACCATCGCCAACGAAGGGGAAGGCGGGGTCGGGGGACGACAACATGTCACGTCCCCCAAAAAAACTAGGGTCGGCACTCAAGCTCTTGACGTGCTGGCCTTGCCTGCGCCAACTTCACTGACGAAGGAGTGGAGGGACAAACCGGCCGGTAAGCTGTGAGAAACGCCACTCTGTCTGGGCGCCCAGGCTTCCTGGAGCGAGAGTGCGGCTTCCTTCCTGGTCCGGATTTCGGAGGACTACCTTGGGTATCGTATACACACGGAGTGACCACAATGTCTGTCGATGCGAGGAGTTCCTGATGCCGGCATGCTACAGCCACCACTCCTTCCAAGTATATGTGATCGACCTTCCTGTGAGTCGGCTAGGTCGCTGGTCGCGTGCAGGGCATACTACAACAAAAACATGTGTGTTTTTGTTGAAGCGTTCCCTGACAAAATGGATTGACGGTTTTTCTTTCTCGAAAAGAGTGGTGGTTTTAGTCTGCCATGATCCGCACTTCCAATGTCGATGCGTGATGCGGTTAGTCGTTGTGTGCCTGGATTAGGAAAAAGTCCGCCGGAATCCAGACTTCGGGGATGTTTGGCTTCCGCTTTTGTGGCTTGCTGTGGTTTTCCTTTCTTAAGGGCGGGGGTGTCGAGCACGAATGCGCTAGTCGTTTTGTTTTCCAACCGCGCTCACGCACCTCAGTGCTCATGGTCATGACAAAACGGGGTTCTGTAATTGGATAAGTCCTCTGTCTTCTTGATTACGTGGTTCTCAAATTGCCGCTTTCGTCCGGTTCGTGTTTGGAAACATGTATTCATTTTCCATTTTGTCGTTATTGTGTTGTACAGGGGTAGGGTCATCTCGAACACGGAGGTCCTCGAAATATCCGGAACACATGTTGCAGACAGTCCCGGGGTTGACGACAAAACACAAGGATATGTTGAAGGCATTAGGGGTTCATGTCGAGATCGGGAAGAAGGAGCATGCCATTGCCATTGAGGAGTGTCTTTCCCTTCTGCCCCCAGAGAAAGGGACATATCAACGATTTGTGACTAGAGGTCAGGCCATGTATGAGAAATACTTAGCTACTCGTTGTGCAATCCTTAGAACTTCGTTTCTCACTGCCCCGCATGTCCTTTACTCGGTTTGAGCAGTGCGGGCCACAACACCTGGAACACGCGGGGGAAGATTCGTTTCAGTGACTGCGCCTCGAAGCTTGGGGGTTTTGGACGACATTAAACAAGGCTCGATGGCACATAACACTGTTCTCTCTACCCTCGGCGATGGTCAATTGCGAATTGCAGCAAAATATCTTCTCACCCTCTCACATATCGACGGTAGGGTGAATGATGAGGTGACCAATTTTTACATGGCGCTATTAGGGATGACCGCATATGCAATATGTAACATCCCGTCAGGTCTTCAAGTCTTCAGCTTTAATTAGTTCTTCTTTAGTAAACTGCAACTTCAAAGATACCACGGGGTGGAAAGGTGGGCTAAAAACGTGGATCTGCTTCAATATGATATTATCTTTGTTCCTGTCCACAAAGATAATGGTCACTGGATCCTCCTTTCAGTCAACTTGAGAGATAATATTCTTGAAATTTTTTATTCTTTTCCTCACGTTATAACTGATTCTAGTTTTTACCTTAGTGTTTTCGAGGTGATTGTATAGTATTTGGAACGTCAAACATTACATAGATGGTCCGGTAGGAATCGGAAGTCGGTAACAACAAATGTTGTGGTGGGGGGAGTTCCAAGACAAGTGGATGAAGTTAGTTGCAGGGTGTTTATGTTGATGTTTGCGGCACTTTTGCAACGTGGTGATCGATCGTCTTTCAGGTTCTCTTGTAAAGATATTCCGCTTATTAGAAGACAATTGACATCACGTATCTTAGAATGCCGGTGTCTTTGATGAATTTCATTGACTTAGAGTGTTTCCTTTGGAAACATTTCATGTATTAATGATTATATTTTTAAAATCTCGACATTACTCAACTGTCATTTTCACAACGACATTTCTTTCTTTTGTCGTTGAGTTGTATTTGGCATGCTCACTGTCAGTCTGGAGTCACGTCTTGACTTTCGAATCTTTGTCACGTCCCAGTCGTCTGTTATGCGGCGGAGCAGGTGCACATTGTGTTCCTTGTTTCAAATTGTGTTCAGGTCAATCACAAGTATACATATGATTGATATCAAATACTATCAATAATAGTGTTGTACGCAGCGAAAATTTGTGTGTGGATGCAAGACAAATTTCGGCGAATGTTTGAGTGTGCGGTTCATTATGCAAAGACTACTAACACCACGTCTCTTGCATGCGCATACAATCATACGCCTTGGGACCGCCTGCATTACATGTAACCAATAAATTTACATTTTGTATCAAAAACTTTTGCGCATGGTCAATTAAAGTGCGGAGTCGATCAAAAATATGTAAAATTTAAAGTTATTGTGTGATATGACAAGTGTTGTCGCAGGAAGCGAACTTGTATGTGAAAATTGACTTCTTGTTATAATACGAACGATTAATATTTTGAGTTATACTTTAACTACTGTTGTAACTGGTCGTCTGTCATGCGGCGGAGCAAGTGCGCATTGTGTTCCTTGTTTCAAATTGTGTTTAGGTCAACCAAAAGTGTAAATATGATTGACATCAAATACTATCATTGACAATAATAGTCTTGTACGCAGCGAAAATTGGTGTGCAGATGCAAGACATATCAGCATAATTGTAAACAAGTATGGTGGGCGTGTCCATCATCGCACTACGTATTGTGTTCCTTGCTCATCATAATTATAAACGAGTATAGATCTCAACACACTTCCACATATCAGGCGAGATGGTGGGCGTGTCCATCATCGCACAAAGTATTTTAAAGAGGTCCAGATTTCATCAACATCAAAACAACCGTCTCCGACGAAATATGTTATCCAACAAGGATTCAATCATGACACCTAGTTCAATACATTTATGAACTTTGAGTTTAACATGTATGGATCTCAACACACTTCCGCACAGGGTTTCCGGATGGTCGTGCCTATCATTACACTAAGTCTTTTAAACAAGTCCGGATCTCATCAAACATCCAGACAACCATCTCAGACGAGAGGATGGATATGATTGTACAATTTAGGGATAACCTAAAGAATTATGTTATCCGACGAGGATTCAATCATGACACCTTGCTCATCTTATTTATAAAGTTCAACAAGTATGGATCTCAGCACACTTTCGCATTTCGGGCGAGTGGATGTGCATGCTACGTTGCTTAGGCTGTATCCAAAAATGAATTCGTTAGAAAGAGGACACAATATAATGTCATATTTTAACGAATAACATGTTACTCCTCTCGCGTCGACTTTCCTTCTTCATGCCCTTGTCGTTGAACGCCACCCTTGTGCTTGCCTCGCCCCCTACTCTTCCCTTTACATCCCCTGTCTCCATCCACCCTGTTTTTTTTTTTTTTTTTTTTAAATTGAGTGCACAGTGATCACTTGGAGCTGTGAGCCACGGGTGTCCAGGAATATGAGACCAGGTTTCACAGTCCTTTCTTCAGCTACTCTCTCTGCAACAGGTACTCCTTACACAATGGTCTCTCCCTTCTCGTCTGCCTCGTGTTATTCCTTGTTTCCGTGTACTGCTGTCAGGTCGGTTCCGATCATCCGCCTGTGCCCACCATGTTCCCCTTGTCGACGTCTGCGTGTTGACCATAACTGGCATTTCGTTAAAATTGACATTGGACCATTGATAGTTCGGCATCGTGGGGACTTCGGACCATCTGATGTATCTCAACGTAAAGTACTGTCAAAACACATTTGAGGGTAAAAAAAAAATGAAAAAAAATTGAGGCATATCAGATGTTCCGGCATCCTGGGGACACCGGACCATCAATGGTCTGATGTAGTCGGCACAAAAAGATGCAAAAAAATACTGTGCTTTTTTGGAAGATCAATTTCGTTAAAATAGTAAAAAATGTCAATTTTAACGAAATGCCTGTTCCATCCGCTCTCCCCGTCTCTTGCCGCCGTCAACACGCTGGTCACCCACTCCCTCCATCTCCACTTCGTGTGGTCGCCCTGGTCTTGCTCCCCGCCCCGCGCTTGTTCTTCCGGATTCCAGTGTATTGGCACACTTCAACCTCATGTGCCACGTGTCTCCCTATGGTCTCTGGTCTGGTCCCCTCACCAGGGTGGCCATGGCGGGCGGCTGCTCCTCAGACCCCACAAGCCCCTCTCAGCAGCCCATCACAAAAAATTCAAATGGCAAGGTTCCACTTACCCCGATTCACTTGTCCAACTGTCAATCTCTCCTCCATCGGAATCATCTCCTGACTCGACCCCGGAGTTAGCACAACTTCAAATTCATCGACTTCAAATTCATTGACTTCAAATTCATCGACTCAAATTCATTGACTTCAATTCATTGGCATAACCCTTGCAGGGCTGGGGTCCTGACAGTCTACCCAAAAGAAGGATGCTGGGACTCCTGGGAGCATTACCCAGTTTAGCTTACGGGGCCAACGCCCCGAGGGGACCAACCCCCTGAAAGACAAGCAGGATTGCAAACAAATAGCCGTACATAGTCCCAGACGTGCACGGTTGCCTGAGGGTCCTTCCCGTACTGTCCCTACAGTGGGGGTTAAACCACCAGTCCACTGGGGCCTGTTTTGGCGAGTGGATGCGCCCCCTGCGTGTCGAAATCTGCCAAAGTGCCAGCTCGGCATTTTCCTTTTTGTTTTGGCTGGCAGCCGCAGCCATCTCGGACTGGTTGCCCCAAACCCCAAAAAGCCCCAAAATTTTCGGTGGTGGTGACAACCTTCTTTTCTTCTGGTAGAAGCCACTGGTTTTTGTTCAAAAAAAAAAAAAAAAAAAGGAGAAAAGAAGGAGTTTCTTTTCTGCAAGGCTGGGGCACACCACAAGACCACCGCAACAAAGAAAAAGGAAAAACCTTTCAATGGGAGAGCACAGAAAATGTCCTTTCCCGCACTGAAATTGTGAACAAACATCACCGGTGAGTTCCAGCCGAATCCACGGCGCATGAAAATCACACACTGTGTACACTGACCCAAACACATGGCTAGTGGAATCTCCCCTCAGGCTGACGAGCTTTTCTTCTTTCTGTTCTCGAGCTCGACAAAGGGAAGGAAAAAAAAACAAAAGCATGCGGCCTACCTCAGTCGGTTAGGCACGCAAGTGGTATTCAGGAGGTGGTGGGTTGGATCCCCACTGACCACCTGCAGCACTCTTCGTGCCAACTCACTGAGATAGTTAGCTTGCTCCCCCCGTTTGGCATCGGTAGGGTCTTTGGCCATCACGGGTGTGCGTGTGTGGGTGGGTGGGTTGTGTGTGGTGTGTGGGAGAATGCTGGCCGCAGACGCTTCTGTTACTCGATGGGGGTGGGGGAAGTAGATGGGAGGCACAGGTAATGGCAAAATGCTCGGTCTTTGCATATGTCGTCCCCCCCACCAGTGGCCCCACCCTATTCCCTGACCACAGCCTATTAGGGCGCAGGAGTAGCGATGCTTGTAGGGGTCCCCTCTATAGGCTTAGGAGTTACTGTAGGGGTAGGTAGGTAGTGAAAGGTGAAATTGAGAGAAGGATATAGCTTCGTTTCAAAAAGAAAGAGAAAAAAAGAAAAAAGAGGTCCAAGAAGAAACATAAGTCGCATTCAGGAGGTTGTGGTTTCGAGCCCCACAAACGCCCGCGGCGCACTTAGTGCCAACCAGCGGTGATAGTCTGCTTGATATCTCTGATCGGTAATAGAATGGTCCTTGGTCAACACAGGTGTGAGTGTGAGTGTGAGTGGGTTGTGTGTGGTGTGTGGGAGAGTGTTGGCCTTAGACACTGCTGTTATTCCGCTGGGGGTGCGGGACGATGAAAAGGGAGGCGCAGCTACTGGCAAAATGCTCGGTCCTTGCATTAGCCGGACCCCCACTGGTGGCCCCACCCCATCCTTCACGACCATGGTTGGGGTGGGGGGCACATGCATCCCCTCTCATGGCTGGAGGGAGACAACAAAGCTATGTTCGCAGGGGTCCCCTGTATAAGTGGTTGGAGTTGTGGTAGGTAGGTAGTGAAGGTGACTTGAAAGAATTTGAAATATGATGAAAGATTTGAGAGAAGAATATTATAGCGTAGTTCAAAAGAACAAAAAGAAACAAAGAAACGTAAAAAAAAAACGAGAGGCAGAAGACGAGATTTCAGCTTCATGCCTGAGCGGCACCGCGTAGGTGCTGGGTTCTATTCCCGTTGCCGTCACTTTCAGTGACCTGAAGGATTGGTAAAAAAAAAAAAAAAAAAAAAAAAAAAAGGATTGGTGGCCACGGCCAGTCAACACTGGTAACTCACTGGGGCGAGTTGTGCCGCCCTGTAACCCGTTGCAATACCACGGGAGCATTGGGCCAAGTGGAAGTGGCTGCTCAGGTCCTGCTGCGCCGGGTCGGGACACACCCAATACACATCCAATAAAA